GGAAATAGATAAAACAAAACATAACTGCAGTTCACAGTTTGACCTCTGGAAGGCGGTGTGGCACAACAACTTTGATATCTGGTTCAGTTTATGAAGAGAGTGGTTTTCTGGTATTTTGTGAAAGAAGTTTTAATCAAAATGACTTAATAAACTTAAAAAACTAAATGACAGGTTGTGAAACGATTAAGAGAGACCGTTAAGTGTAATGATTCTCAAAGTGTGGGGCGCAAGGCACAGCGTGTAAAACTAAGTACGAGTCTGTCTCTTATGTGAATAATGTTTTACATAAAAAATATTTAAAATAAAAGAATATATTTATTTTAACAATAAAATATAGAAATGTGAAGACAGTGGAACCACTGCTTTATTGAGTTATACTGATAACCAATAATGAATTAGCACATTATTGCGTTCACTTCTCTATCCATTCATGGTCCATTCAAGCTAACACAATACAACAGATGCCATCTAGCCTGTAAAAAAAAAAAAAATCTAATTTTTTCAGACTGATTGCTGCAGAGTTCGTCCCACTCCTTCCCACCGCCCCCCTGTCATTGTGAGCCAGGATTGCGTCACCTCACTGATACCAGCCCTCACGACGGAGCCCTTTAGTCTGTAACCATACACCGGACCACTCCCTCAGGTCCACGCTAAGGGTCTAATCAGTGACATAAACAGCAACCGCTGCAGCAATTTAATTAATCCACGAGGGGGGAGGCAAGCTGTTGTTTTGTTGCTGTTAAAACAAAGGAGGAGGAGGAAGTGAGGGACACAGGATTTAAAGTAGGATGTAGGGCTTAACAAAGGAAATATAGGACAGTTTAGTGCACACACACACACACACACACACAGAGGCCTAGAATGAGTTTCTACGCTACACGCAGTCTCCTTGTAACCACTGATTGCTAACAGAGAAGACTGATTTTCTTTAAGGTAGCTGGTTGCAGCTCCTGGTCATGCAGGTCTCCATCCTGCACACAACAGCTGTTGTGAACTCAGAGCAACAGAGGCTACAGGATGGAAAATAACCTTAACCCCGGGGGAATGCTGCCACTTGGCCTTGTTATGGCATCAGTCTGTTTGGTCTGTTTGCTGAGGTTGTGAGGTAACAGCAGCACTGAGCCATTCTGCTTTGCACACAGATCAAAATGTTTATTTTGTTGCTCAGGTTCCTCTGTAAGACAATCAAACCACTGCTCGATGCATCACACACACACACATTGTACAAAAATGGATGTAGCTCACGACTGCAGGACAAAACGTCACTGCAAACACTGACAGAGAATCTGACATTTGCATGTAATCCAAAAAGAGGACATGAAAAAAACGGTCCCTACAGTTTAGATTCAACGGGACAGTGTGCTCTGCGTTCTTTTACTTTGCATTTTGCAATGAACGCAGCTGCTGCACCGGAATCATATCAGAGTTTTGTGGTTGGCCTTGTCAAACCTAGAGATGAGGGTGGTTTTACACAAAGCAGCTAAGAGAGGCTGAAGTTTGAAGTAGCAGGGATAGGCTCACGCTAATGATCTGTGGTACGAAAACCAAGAAGAAAGAAGTAGAGGAAGGAGGGAGACAGAGAGAGAGAGAGAGAGAAACAGAGAGAGAGAGAGGGGCCCATTATGTGGAGTCCAACTCCACACTGAGCAGTGTTTGTTCCATCCACTGTATGTTTTAGTCATTCACTGTTGTGGAAGAATCTTCCCATTCACTATCACTGTACAGCTGAGCACAAAGTGCCTCAAAGTTATTTCAGCAAAGCTTCATTAAGGACCCAGCGGTCTATTTGTCATCATTAGTGTACGTTGGTCTGATTGATCCATTTGTATCATCCCAGCAGATCAATGTGCCTGTAAACAGGAGCCAGTGTCTCCGCCACAGCAGCAATAACACAAACGGTTCATTTCAGCAGCCATCAGTCAGATTGGACATAAAACAGTCGGAGCATTAATGTGGCAGCATTGTGGTCCACATGTAAGTGGGTCAGACCAGACCATGACGGCGGTTGTCCCTGCCCTTTCTTGAGCCATGGACCGGTTAAATGTCTGAAGTTTTATTTCAAACATTTTTCGGCCATTAGTAAAATGTTACGATAGGCATAAACTAGTGTTTTCTAAATATAATAATAAACATTAGCCACGGGGTATTAGCACGTCCTCGTAACATCGTGCTTGTCTTTTAATGCAGAACACTTGGTCTCCAACTGGCGAAGCCATTTTAAAGGCATTGCCTCTGAGCGCCCTGCCGCGTATTATGCAGCACAGTCTTGGTACGTAGGAACAAATAAATCCATATTTAAAGTAGGAATCCTTACATTGTCTGTTAATTGCAGCTTTCTTTCTTTTTTTCTTCTTTGGCTCTTCTTTTGTCTCCTCACTGGCTCTTTTATTCGTGCAAAGAAACTTTCCAAAGATGTTTGTTTTTGTTCATTTTGTTAGCTGGGGGGTTTCAATTTAGCGGTAATGTTCTATGTGTTACTGACCGGAGCAGACCCTTTAAGATAGTAGTGGATGTAGGTAAGACATGTGACTGAGGCAAGCATCCTGACATGAATGTGAGTGTGAGTTATAGACAGATGCAGTGGAAAAAAATCTGGTAATGTTTCAAAATAAAACATTGTTCAGAATTAGATAATAAATAAAACTAAATAAAATAATATAAGTTATGCATTTTTTTCTGTGTATTGGGGACCACTGATGTAGAATTCTTACCTTTCTTTTTGTTTTATCATTTTTTCTGTCTTTTGTTGGATGTTATAAATCCCAAGTTAGTCACTCTGCTTGGATCGACACTATCTTCTAATGATGTTGTTTAAATGTTAAATTAAAAGAGACCAAGTCATTAAACATTAGCTTACAGATGAAAAAAACTGCATGAAACCTTTATTTTTCTTTTGAAAGTTGTAAACTGCGATCTGGTTCATCCTGGTTCCTGACTTTGACTTAACCTTGTTGTCTCCCAAACTGTGGGCGTCAGTGTCAGACCTATTTTGGTTTGTTGTTCCATTGTTGATAAAATGTCAATATAATGTTGACTCTCTCTTTCTATAGAGATATGACATTGAAAAGGTAGTTCAGGCTCAAGGAAACCCAATTTAAAAAAATGTGTTACGTGAATTTGGATTGTCTCTGGACCTCACTTAGTTTTACAATAAAAAGCATGCAATTCATTAACATGTTACATCAAAATGTCTTCATCAAATGCAAAAAAGTGTGAAGTCTGAGTTCATCAGTGTCATCACCCTCACCTGTGTCTCTGTCATTAGTCTCACTCCTGTCACCTGGTGCCCTGGGTATATACACCTCTCTGCCTCACTCTGTCCAGGTCAGGTCATTGTTCTGTGGTGATGGTAGTTTTGGTTGGTGTGTTTCTGCTGTGTGTTTGGTGTTCATGGCTTGTTCTGCTCTTTGTTCTTGCCACCCATTTTTTGTGATTTTTGCACTTTATAACTACATTCACTGCACCTGATTAGTCTCCCTCGTGCTGCCTGCTCACACTCATGACAAACTGTGACACACAGTTTGAGGAAATTTTCAGCTATTTTATTTTCAACCTTTACTGATTTAGTCCCAGTCATTTATTGATCAATTGTGAGTTTTAGCATTTGTGCGGTGTATAATTTTCTGAAGGTGTCAGAGGGATTCATGTTACAGGAATGTGTTCATACCAACACTTAGGACAGACTGCTTCCTGTGTGGCTTCTTTGATGTACTTTATCACATTTACATTGACTTACATGTGGAGTTGAATATATGGTTCCACTGGGAAACCCAGGATGTGATAACAACTTCACTATGGAACCAACATCAGTAGGTGAAGTTTTTTTTTATTAGTATGGTCAATGATATGATTAGTATTTAACCACTAATAAAAATGTCATGCACCAAATAACTGAGTGAGACTGCAGTGTGTTTTCACACCAGTTAATTTTAGCCCACGGTGTCACCGAAGACACATTTTGCTCTTTGGTATTTTGAGACTTTTGTAACTGCCTGGACACCCCATCCTCAGTGGGTGCTGTGATGAGCGGATGTCTGCTGGGTGATTTATCAGTGCACCTACCTATAAAGAAGGTGTCGGGGGCCTCATCTCCAGCCAAGAGCTCCACAGTTTCAGGGTCAAACCTGAGCCAGAGTCCCACGGCCAACACCAACAAACCTGACAACTGAGGGGAGAAAAAAAGTCACAGAGGAAACTGCTGTGATTTTTACACACAGTAACAAAGTATAACTCTGAAACCTTCTGTCAAACACGGCTCCAGGATTTCAAGGCTTCGAGTGAAATCTTCTGAGATAAAATCCAATCATTTTGTTCTGAAACCCAGGTTCAAACTTTGTTTATGAACCTTGAGATGATTTAGATTCTCCTGGCGTCTGGTCCCGTCTTTGTCTGGTCAGTGAAGCACCAGGGAGTGTTCACTCTCTGTCTTTTCTCTCTATTATCATGAGTGTTAATCACTGAGTCCTGCTGGGCTTTTGTCCACTTTAAAAACAAGGAAATCCATCAGTTTAAGCTCAGACTCAATTTAAATGATGACAAACCTAGGGCTGCTCACACATCTCCCTGGCCGAGGTCATACTCATGTGTTATATCAACACATTTTTCCATTGTATTTCCAGATCACTCTCCTCTCTATGATTGGTTGGTTTGAGCTATTGTCAGTAAAAAAAGAAAACCTTTTTATTTCCTAATTTCCAATGGTACTCAAACGGCGGTCAGTGGGCTGAGTGTGCACTGTGAGCTGGGACAATATTAGGTTAGTGGCTTGACCAGGTATAATTAATATCATTAACAAATATACAGTGCATGTGTACAATCACATCCGCCCTCACTGACCTTAAAAACATCACTGTGGAGTTTGTATTTGTAACCCCGGCCTACTCTATGCTCAAGACTACACTGTGTGCACAATTATTAGGCAAGTTGTATTTTTGAGGATTCATTTTGTTATTGTACAACTACAGTTCACAAACCCTCAAACCTGAACATTTAAGTAGTAAAGTGAAGTTTTGGCTTTCTTAAGAGAATATCTACATGTACACCATTATTAGTGTGCAGAATTATTATGCAACTAAATGAAAAACAAAGATTTTCCCATCTCACTTTATTTTAGAGTTTATTTTCACCTGTTAAAGTGAGAATAATAAACAAACTTGAAATGTACAAATAAACATTTCTAAAATTTCAAAAGAAAAAACCTTAGTGATCAATATAGCCACCCTTCTTTTCGATACCAGTCACAAGCCTTCCGTTCACGGAGTCAGTCAGTTTCTTGATCTGGTCAGAGTCAACTTTTGTGCAGCTGTAACCACAGGCTCCCAGACACTGTTCAGAGAGGTGTACTGTTTACCTTCACTGTAAATGTCCTGCTTAAGAAGGGCCCAAAGGTTCTCAATACAAGTCAGTTGAAGAAGGGGCCCATGTCATTAGTTTTTCATCTTTAAGGCCTTTACTGGCCAACCACGCAGTGGAGAACTTTGACGCATGTGATGGAGCGTTGTCTTGCATAAGAATCAGTCAAGTCTTCTCGAAAGATGCAGACTTTTTACAATTTCTGACTTTTCAGAGTCAGTTAAATCTCTTTTTGGCCCATTTTTCCTGAGGAGAAGAACCTGCCTAATAATTATGCACACCTTGATATAGGGGGTTCATCTCCTTTGACCACACCCTCCCTCGTTACACAAATACACATCACCTGATATGCAGTAAATCTAATAGGCATTCAAGTTTATACAGCTTGGAGTTGGAAATTATGGATAAAATACTCACCTAATAATTGTGCACACAGTGTACTTTAAGTCTTTCGTCTGCACTGGATAGAATCTATAATTTCTGAATTCTGAACTTGGCAAAACTCCTGGAATTAAACAGCCCTAGTGGTGACAAAAGTAAGGCACGCACTGGAGTTTATGGACAGTGACGTTTGAAACCAGCGTACATATTAACATCTGTAAACGGGGGATTGAGGTTATGGTTTTTGAAGTATTTACAACAAAACAAAATAGTTTGAAGCCAAAGGAAACATATGGTTTTATCTTACTAAGCTAAGCCGACACCCATGTTTCCCATTATTCCTCCTTATTTGATCATTCAGGACTTCAGAGTGAAATATCTGCTGCCAGGAAGAAGAATAAAAAAAAAGAAGAAACAGAATAGTCTGTAACAGGAGCGCCTGTTTCCTATCACATATCAAAGTATCATAACTGAATGCCAGCATTGGCACTCCGGCTCCCATGGTGCATTTGGCCACAGGCTGTGCCAGCCTCACAGTGCCTGGATGATGTAACTCACGCTGGCAATGGCTTCTCATTTGGCTCCAAAGCCTAAAATGACAGTGTACTGTATACACACCCAGCTGAGCCGCTGCTACAACGGCTCTGCTTTCACTCCCAAAAGTGTGCAGACAAAGACGCCAGTGTGTGACGGGGTGACACAAGTGATCGTCGAGCGGAGCACAAATGAGTCAGTGCACTCTCTCCAATCTGAATATTTACATTACCATAATACCTCAAGAGTAGCACGGAATATCCTTCAGTATTCCACTGCGCACACTGGGATTCTTTTTAAAAGTTCAATGAAAACTCTTTGAATTTGTATTTTCTCAACAGGGTGTACATTCAGGGGACCCCTAGGGGTTTGTGCAGGTACAGCAGGAGAGTCATAAAAAGTTTAATTTAGTTAATCAGACAACTTTTTCAATTTTTTTTTTCCTGGAACCTCAACTCACAGAATCTTGCATAGGTTAAAAATAAGCTGTGTATTATTTGAATAGCTTAGAACTGAATGTAAAATAACAAAGAACATTTACTCATGGCAAAATGTGCAGTTTAAAATAACACACAATTTTCATTGGGAAATTCTTGAACATAGATATGAAATGTAGATCGGCAGTGCTAACCTAATTCCAGATTCCTATTCCATCCTGTTTTCATTAAATTTCCATCAAAACCGTCCAATTCCACAATGACTCCGTTATCTGTGATTACACCCAGACATTAAGCCGGGAGGAGGAGATCCCACAATGCAGTAGATTTGTTTGAGTACAAAGTTAAAAAGCGTAGCTATCACACCTGTCTCCTGGGCAGGCTACAACAGAATGACGGCCGAAGCTACAACACGAAGAAAAAAAAACAAAAAACCCAAAACAACAACAGCAGCCTCTAGGAGGCAGCAGCTGGGGCTACAGGTAACTTAATCTGAGCAGATCTAAATCTGCAGAACACAGAGATGAAAACAAAGAATTCAGACAGAGGGAGAGAAAGAGAGAGAGTGAGAGATCCAGGCAGAACTACTTTTTCAAACACACAAATATAAACCATCTCTTGAATTGGTGAAAACTGATTACCCACAGACACCTGAGTGTTTGATGCTAAATATCACAAACTGTTTAAGACTTTATTTTACATATGTCTAAACATATAAAGCCTGTATACTATCTACATTATAAAGACCTCAAATGTATTTGGTTTTTTAGCATCTCATGTAGGCTCCTGTTAAAACATGTTGAGTTCAACATGGCTGCCTCCGTAGAGCGACTACTGTAGTTTAAAAGAAGGTGCTTAATGAGGAGTAATGTAAATTAAAACAAAAACCTAGGACTGTATGTTGGTGTGCAGGACTCCAGACGGAAAATCTCCTTTAAGAAAAGGTCACTTTAATTTGTAATTTAGAAACAGGAAATAACATGAGTTTACTGGTTGTTTAAGCCTGTTAAACAACGGCCACTGATACCACAATAAAAAAAATATACCTAGGACGGTATGTTGGTGTGACTCATTTGAGACACCCAGAAAAAAAAAACAAGAACAAAAAACAAAAACAAACAAACCTGTTACTAATTCTAGCTTTTTCCAGCCCAGTGCTAAAATAATGCAGCATTCATTCTGAAGCATTGATCTGATCCTAAACATAAAGCAGGAAAATCACAGCACAGTGAGGTGATGAGTGGGCATCAGAACAGTGGGTGTGTTGGAAAAGTCACACACACACTGCAGGTTGATAGTGTGTGTGTGTGTGTGCTTCAGTGAGCGGTGTACAACACACATAAATCATATCAGTGTTAACAGGCTGCTCTGTGATGTACTCGTGAATAATTAACGTCACTCCATTGAGTGAGGTGGGAGGTGATGGACGGACATGAACTGATCGATTTAGGATTACTTAAAAAGCGAGAGGGAGGGGGGGGGGGGGGGGGTGAAAGGGGGTGAACAGAACAGGTGGACAGAGAAACACCATCAGCACAAATTCTCCATGAATAATAACATTCTCAGCTTCAGTCTGTGGCGTGATGCAGGTAAACAACAGTCTGATCCACAGACATCGTCATAAATGAATCCATCAAACCAACGATAACAGGCACAGACGGCGAATAACGGACGGCTCGTGAGACTTACCCAGAAGATGAAGTTGAAGACGAAGAGCAGATATTTCACACATTTCATCCCCCCCTGCACCTTGCCCATGGTGTCGCCTCTGAGTCTCTGTGTCCCCGAGCTGAACGGCTGATATCAATGTTTTTGGTTTTGTTTTTTGTTTTTTTGCAGATTCTCACTTCTTGCAGTCGGGCATCAAACCCATGCACTGATGAAGGTCTGCGCCGCAGCTACAACATCAAAACAACAAAAACATGCGCACAAGGCTGTGCGCACAAGGAAGGCTGCTGGACCGTTGCTGCACAAAGCTCGCACCGTCCCGCCCACCAGCGTGTGCGTGCGTGCGCACGTGCATGAGGTAGCCACAGTGGGTGTCGTCCTGCAGGGACCCACGAGGGAAACGGTCCTTTGATACAACGAACAACCGTGGTGAATTTATTCAGTCAGTTAAAAAGTAAAAAAATAAAAAACAAAACAAACAAAAACAAAACACCAACTTCTTTTTACACGGTGATTGGCCCTGTAATGTTATAATTACAACAACAACAACAACAACAATAAACACATAATAGTAGTAGGAGCTTACTACTTAGTAGTATTATTGTTACTACAACAACTACTACTTCGTCTTCTTCTACTAGTACTACTACTATTACTACTACTTATGATAAAAATATTTATATGTGCCTACTACTTAGGTATATTAAATGAGTTATTATTAGGGATGTACAATAATATCGGTCTGCCGATATTATCGGCCCGATATTAGCATATATAAACGGCTGCATAATAAAGTGAAAGTCACTAGATGGCAGCATTGTAGCTCATTTTATTAATCTTATACTCATACAGTGGTTTGTACAGATAAATAAATATTACCCGGCCTATATCTGTATCAGAGGATACTCATATAGGCCTGGTATAGGACGATATCGGCTTATCAGATATTGGGAAAAAGTTAATAACAGACAACCTTAATTATATATATATATACATATATAGAAAAATTATTTATATATAAATAATTCAGAAGACGTTTAGTAACCAGTATAGTAGTAATGTTACCCAGTGCAACTTTAATCTGTTTAAATATATTAAATATATAGATGGACACACATAGATAACCATCTGAGTCAGCGTAGAAGCTGTTTGTCCTGGTTATCAACCACTGATTCCTGCGTTTGCTCTAAAATTCTGGTCGTAGCCTCCACTGAAGACTCTGATGCTGAGACACAGTAACCTGCAGTGGAAACTCTCATGGCCTTAATAGGTGTCGTTGCACAGGCGCTGCAGCCTGTCTGTGTCACAGTCAACAAATGTGCTCCACTAGAATAAGTAGCTTCTTGCTCTGCAGATAAATGCAGAGCAATTTTTTTAAATGCATCCCTGTCCAGTACACCAGGTCTGTTCTCCAGACTGACTTCACTCTGTGTCTGTGCTGTGGGCACCCGTTGGGGAGGGGAGGAGGGGAGGAAGAGGGTCAGTGTGGGTTCACACTCTCTCACAGTCAAGCCTCTTGTATTTGTGCGGTGCCTTTGTTTGCTGCGCTAATGTGGGAGGGAACAGCAGACGACCCCCTGACTGTCGGCCAGAGAGGATCATGGGACACATCACATGACATCCCCACTGCCCACTCCTGCTATGTTCTGTTACAGATTTACAACCAGAGGTATGCAGCCATAGGCATGCTGGAATGTGGATAGAATGACATGTGGATGGATGATATAGATGGGTGGACGGACACACAGAAGTTTAAAAATATATTAAACGTCTGTTCTATGGTATGCAAGATTTCAATAAAGCTGTTCTATAAATGTCTTTGTCTCTACCTAGTGGCCAAAATAAGATGTGCACCTATGATGAACAATTTTCTAACGGGAGCCGAAACAAGGAAAATAGAACATACTGCATTACAATAAAAACGTGTACTTTTAAAGATTAATTAAAGGTATAAATAGAGGAGGATTTTCTGAAATACTAAGTATTAAAACAGATCCCACATTATCCCCTTCATTGGTAGGACATTAGGTTTTAAAACTACGGTCCTATTACAATGCAGACTGTGTCGATCCCTGATGACGGGCTTCCTCTACAGGGCACAGAGGGGAGATGCATCCTCTGTGGTGAGAACCAGTAGGCCAGAATTCTTTTATAGCTATTGCTCTAAGTACAGTAAAGGCAAGGAACCAATCACAGTGCCTAACACATTACAACCCAGTCTGATATGAACCCATCAGGCAGTCCTGTGTGCTCCTAACACACTCTTACCTTTTAAGTGACTTCTGTGATGTCACTGGGCTGTGACATCACCCACTTTGTCATTTGTTTGTATTTCCTTTCATCCTGAGCTTTGTGATGTCACATATTTACACAGGAGCCGTGAGGTTATGCTGAATACACCACTGTGGAACCTGGAAGAAGTTATGAATGCCATTAAACTCCACTCTGGTGATTTTCCTCAAACACTCAGAAGACCGTCAGTTCTGGATCAAGATGTGACCACACGCATCATAAGGTTTTTTTTGAAGGAGGACAGAATAGTCGGCATTAAATACTCTGTAAGAGGTGTGACTTGCACAGTATGACACACAGTATGACACACTGACTTGGACAATCTTAATAATAATAAATCTGACTAAAAGATCATTTATGAGCTCACAGATACTCCGAACACCAGCGCTGAGGTATTGAACTACATGCATGTGTCCACTAGAGGTGATGTGTCCTGTGTTTGAACAAACCTTTAGCCCAATGTCAGCTGGGATTGGCCCTAGATCCTTCCTCAAATGTTGACGGGATAAAGCAGTCGGAGATGAATTTATGAATAAGACGTATGGACTGCGTTGAAGTAATTTTCATTGGTATTACAGTATGAGACATACTCAAATCCTGCCGTGTCCCTAATCAGTAGAGAAGGTGTCAGAACAGGACGACTGTTGTAAAACTGCCCCCATGTGACACGTGTGTAGTTATTTTTTGACCATATTCATCAACTATCTTCAACATCAATGTTTTTTGGTGTTTTTTTTTATTTTCTGACTGATTTTAAATATTGGTTATAAATAAAATATCATTAAAGTAAACAGCTGACGACATGTTATTTTTATATGTCCTGCTGCCTATTATTTTATGCTGCATTAAAATTTAGTCCTAGCGAAAATATTTCTTTTAAATATGATGCGTTAACATTGAAACCATTTTATTTTTTACATTATGTTTGGCTCGGTTCGACTCTTTGTTGCGTCTTTTTAGAGTTGGATTAGTTTCATGAGTGATTGTGTGAAACAGAACAGCTCACAGGCCGGTGTTTGCTTGTGTTCACAGCCATAATGCGGAGAAGCTCCCGACTACAAATCTCAGGTTACTATGACAGTGAGGGAAAACCAATCATTTCCTACAAAGAAATCCTGTACAGGTAAACATTTTGAACATTTACATGTTCCTGGGTTTAAGTGCATCGGAACTGTGCACCAATAATGTTTCACTTTTTTCTTTATCATCCTAGAGTCTTCAAAAGACGCCGTTTTTTTCCTCGAAGAAAACTCTCTGTCAGCAACATGGATGAGAAAATCGATGATTCCATGAACGGCCTCTTTCAGTTCAGTCAGAGGAGCCTGTGGTGGATCATCTTCATCTTATTATGTATTGGTAGGTCACTTCTCACGGACTACAACAGAATATGCATATTTATTTATTTTTATTGTCCACTCAGGACGGAAAATTGCTTTTGGCTCCTCCCACAGTTGTAACAACGTACAATTAAAACATCTTCCCATCCTTTTTAGACAACAGCACATATTTTACATTAAAAAAAGCCGAATAAAATGTCACAAAAACATATGTGATGAAATATAATTCATTGCTTCAATGTACTGTTAATTTAAATACTCGGTGTGAAACCTTGGCCTGTTGAGTTGAATAAAACACTGACGTCCTCGCAGGAATTGAAGAAACTATCTTCTTCAACAACTTTCTTTTTTTTAGCTTTTAGGGCCATCTCCTGCCACCTAGTGGAATAACCAATAAAATGTTTTCAGACCAATGAAGTAAACTTAGACAGTTTTCCTGATGATATAATTATTAAATATGTGCAAAGGCATGAGAAATCAAGCAAATCCTAATCTTAGATTGAACTTTTGTCACTTGAATATTTTGGTACAGTTGGCTAAAATCCCTCTCTGTCTTCAGGTTTAGCTTTCTTCATACCTTCATGGACGGGCAGCTCTTTTGATCCAGGACAATACGTCTCCCTCTGTCTGTCGAGAATATTAGCTTTCATCCATACACTCATGGACGGCTCTCCAGACCACAGTGTGACAGAGTCACCCATCATTGAGATTAAAGTGAGACAGCCTCCTGGAACCACACAGTGTTGTCCTCGAGCTGCTGTGTCTAATAAGTGTCCTCTCACCTCCAGGGTCCACCTGAACCGTGTCGACATATTGAGGAATCATCCCATCAGATGGAGGACGAGCTGCTGACTTTGAGGAGGAGACTCACCACTCTTTTCCCTCTCGCTGACTCACTGACCAACTTTGCCCTCAAGTCTCTAGGTGAGATATCTGAACCCCTGTTATTACGTCTGTGTAACAGGGGTTCTCAACTGATGGGTCGCAGACTAGTTTTCAGTGACTTGAAGGCCTTTTAGAAAGGCGAAAAAAACTGTTAAGAAAAAAATCAGCAGAGTTTTGCCTATTCACACTCCTTAACAGTAGGCGGCGATTATACCACTGTAACACGAGTGGCAGTGTCATTTTTACAAATGTACATATGCAGACACAATTGAACACTTTGACCTGCCTTCATGTAGCTTTCAAACTCCTATGCAACCTTGTTTGTGTCTTTGTTTCTGCAGGAGCTAGAATAGTCCATTCTCTAACGTCAGAAGCGTACCAGACGCCTCAGCCCCACTGGACATTTTTTGGAATACCTCTGTGGCGATCAGCTGTGGGTGCTAGTGTAGTGATTGAGGTAAGAAAAACATACAAACGACTCTTGTAATTTGCAATTATTGAAATTAAGACCGTGTGGTCATTTTTATAGAGTCATAGAAAGTATTTGGTCCCAAGTATATTATATTTTACTTCATTTAAAAAACAAGTGGGTTCAAGTGAAAGAATCGTCCTCTAGATAAAAGAACCAGTAGGTGGCAGTGTTGGAACTCACAAGGTTCAAATCTTCCAGTAAAGCCCAAAGAAGAAGAAATACTTTAGTGACTGAACAACAAACAAACAAACAAACAAACAAACAGTTATATATGGTAAAATAATATGTAGTAAAGCAATGCTAACACATTATGTGCTAGTAAATGCTATTATACGAGATGACAGTGACATTCTTTCTTACCTGACAGTGTGAAGACATGAATCTTTGCACCATTTTTTATATTAATGTTGTTTCTTCTTTTTGACTTTCTGCAGGGACATTCGACTCTTCTTCCAGGTCGCTGCTGGCCCTTCCCAGGTGATCAGGGTCATTTAGTTATCGGACTTCCGTTTCCTGTGGTCATCAGTCACGTGTCTCTGGGCCACATCTCAAACAGCTCGTCCCCAAGTGGAACCATCGACGCTGCTCCCAAAGTGTTTTCTATCTATGTACGTTTTTATGGTTTATTTATTTACGGATTTAACACTTTGGGCTATGCTACCATACTATACTGTACTACTATTATTACACCTACAAGACAGTTTTTGCGCTGAAGAACTGGTGGGCAACAAACAACCACACCTTAATCTTGCCAAGGGCACTAAAATAGCAAGAGCTAACTCTCAACTTTTTCTTTGTCTATTCTTTCTATTTCCATCGTTTAGGGCATGGAATACTTGGACTGTGAAATGTCCCGGTTAGGAACCTTTCTCTACGATCGGGACGGAGGTCAAATGCAAACTTTCAAAATACCAGTGAGTTCTAGTCAATACATAATAACAACATGTACAGATTGATTTGCAAAACTGTGTCACATGGGTTAACACTGTTGCCTCACAGTAAGAAGGTCACTGGTTAGAAGCTAGGTCTGCCCATTGGTTTTGGATAAAAAAACCCTCTGATGTCTTGCAGGCGAACAAAACTGGAACCTTCAATTATGTCAAGCTCCAGGTGGAGAGCAACTGGGGTCACCCCAACTACACCTGTGTGTACAACCTTAGAGTTCATGGACGATGGCAGAACGAGGTGGGTGGAGACACAACGTCGTGGGGGTGACGTGGACGATGTTGATGCGACGTTGGTACAACGATCACATCCTTTGCAGCAGTTCTGCAGGAGCAGTTTGTTTTGTGACTATGAGGCTGTGGGTCGGTGGTTGAGTGGATCAGCCTCCTTCAGAGAAGTCATGGTTAGATTCCCAGCTCCTCTACATGCCAATGTGTCCCTGGGCCTGACGCTGAACCCAAGACCTCCTCTGCTGACTATACTAGCAGAGAGCCAATGGTTGAAGTAGGTATGTGAAAAAGGAAACGGCTGAAGAGATGTTCTTTAAGAATAAGGGAGTGAAAACAGGAGACATGTAGATGAGAACACAGCAGAGAACCTGCACAAGAGGCACGAGGATTTAAGAATGGTGCTGAAGAGCAGGTCAGCAGGTCAGATGTTGAAATCAGGGAACTACCTAAATGAAAAAAAGTCAAATTAAAAATGGAATATGATATTGATGAGATGGAATAGGAGTTAGTGAATAATTATAATAATAAATAAAGTGATTAATAATAATAATATATGAAGAACTCTGCAAAATCCTGCAGATTGGATACTTCATCTCTATGTCAGGGCATGTGGGACAGGGTTCAGGGGCCGCAGGCAGGTACCTGCTAATGTTAAAGACTGAGTGTGCAGGAGCAGCAGCAGGAGGAGGAGGAGCAGGAGGAGGAGCAGGAGGAGGAGGTGAAAGAGGTGGAGGTGGCGGCGATTGAAAGAAATCACCTGCCACTTATTTAAACAAGACTAGAGAAAAGGCAGAGGCCCAGACTGAGAGACCAGCAGCTCTGGTTGTAAAGACATCAACTCAGTGTCTTGATGAAGATTGATGATGAGGAGGCTTCAACAAGTGGAGCAGCCTGTCTAAAAATATTTCACCACGTTTGTTATGGAGAATCACCTGGTGTAGAAGAAACCAGTCTGATTTATCACCTGTCATTTACCTGGAATAACAAAGACCCACTAAGACTACTTACACCACACGCTGGACAGACAGTGCAACTACATGTTGACACAAAGACTGCTCCCACACCTTCAGCTGCAGGAAACACTTCCTGCCAGACTTCACAGCTCAGCTGCCCATGTTTATACACTGTATTAGACCTTGTTCTATAAATGACCTCGAAATTATTAAAAAACAATCTAAAACGAATAAACTTGAACTGAAGTTTTGAGCACAAACAGTCAAATATATTGCATTTTTTAAATGTAAACAAATCCAGACAAAAACCCCGCGTTATTTGAGGAATGTTGCAGTATTTGACCACTAGAGGTCAGCGTTGCAACTTCTTTCAGGGCCAGGGCCGCCGAGCGGCACCTGAGTTTGACGTAAACACAGCCCGCAGTGACACATTGTTTATTCGTATTTATAGAATTGACAAATGATCGAGAACAGGAAGAATAAATCTTTTATGGAATAGCGCATTTTTAGGCCATTTTTTTTCTTCTGGAAACTTCATATCAGTAGCTTCTCCTTTAGTATTTGCCTGTTATAAAGTTTTACCTCCAAGAGCACTGAGCTCACCCCAGACACCTTAAATGTCAGCTGTGATATACAACAATGGCACAGTCCTCCACAGACACTAAATAAGAAATATCTGTCTGAAGACGCCGTCCACACCAAAATGTCACAGTTAAAGATATTGATGAGCTCTGATTTTTATCAGTACTTCTGAATCATTTAAAAACTGTTATTTCTTTCATATTTGTGCCCCCCCTGGCCCTTTTCTGTTCTTTTTTTTATTTATATATCTGTAGTCGAATGAACAGCAGAAGGAAAACACGACGCTAAGCCAAAACACCAAATTACTGGCAGTAAACTGGAGCCATATGGGTTTCCTCCTCACTTTTCGTTGAGGTCAATTGAAAGAAATTTCTCCTGCTGGTAAAACTTGCGGTGAAATACCCGGGGGCTACATGGAAGAGACTTCAGCAGACACACAGTGCATGTATGTGAGTGTTTAATAAATAACAATGTCAACAACAACATTTTTAACAAAAAGTTTTTTTGCTTATATCAGACCTGGGTCAAATATTTCCAAAGGTTGCAGATGTAGAAATGCCTGGATCAAGGAGCTCAGGGAAAATGTAACCGTAGGCAGAAAAATTGCATAATTGTCCTAAGTGCTATGTGTGTAAGGGTGCTGTTTTACTGGCACACACCGTGTGACACGCTTAGCTGCGGTTTCTAGCTCGAGAGTGATCCGATCACTCAAACCCTGGAGCCGCAGCTTGAACCGAGTCCACAGTTCATTGTGAAGTAGCTCGGATGATCACGACGTGAGGAGAGATGACTGTTTGTGAGGCGTGATGTTAATTAAACACATGTGAAAAGCTCTGCATTCTGACAGCTGTCACGGCACCGGAGTGTTTGGTCAGTGTCATGTTTTTCTTTTTCTGTTTTGTTTAAAGGCAGACACAGAAGTCCAGATGTTTTCTTCCCACTGAGTTCATCACATGCGAACAGCGATCTCTGGAAAATGTCCAAAGCCAATTGTACGGACCGCTTCTTGACTTCATGTCTGAAAAAAGGCTTGTATCTGGGGGACATTGAGTAAATCAAAGGGGAAAGGCCTTTGACAACACTTGATCCAATCACGGGACAAGATTCAAGAGAAATAATGACTTCTCCACTCGGGGACTATGGGTAATTGCCTGCGAAATGATGTTTCCTATGACCGTAGATGTTCATGAGGTGACATAAGAGAAAATATGTTAACAGCAGCAACGGGCAGGAAGTGAGCCAAAAGGCAGCCAGAGAACGACACCGTTTACAGCAGCTTTAAATTAGAGCGTCTGCAGCAGCAGCAGCAGCAGCAACAGCAGCAGCAGCAGCAGCAGCTAAGGTCAGGACAAGTGCAGTTTTCCGAAGCTACGGCTTCAAAAGTTACAATTCATTTCTTTAATCTATTCCTATTCATAGAAAAGGCATAAACAAGGCATATCTATAGTTATTTATTTATTACTTCAAAATGGGCCTCGGTTTATGTCAGTCAGTCAGCTAACACGACATAACTGTGGACACCACACGGTTATGCTCAATTAAATGTAGTCTCTGACTTCTGTAAAAACATTTTTTTATTAATATTCAAAATTGAATCAATTGTCTAAATTGAAGCAAAGTTTGCCATCTACATTTTGTCTAAGGTAGTGGTTCCCAAAGTGTGGGGCGTGCCCCTTGGGGAAGATATTGCAGTGTGGTAGGGGCCCTTTGGAGGAACCATCAAGGCATATGGCTTTTCATTTCTTTACTTTCTCCACCTTTGCCACCAGGGGGAATCAGCACTGATTTGTAATTTTATAGTTTTTGCGCAACGAGACAAGCAGTTTTGTAGAAGTCATAATATTAAATAAGTTAAATAAAGTTCAGCTGAGTCTGAGTCGGGGAGATTCCTGTCAGTAGTCCTATCCACACATGGGGGCGCTGCAGATCAAAAACAACAACATATATAACATACTAAACTGCTACTAGACGTGGCCCACATGGTGGTGATTGTTTTTGCAGTTTAGACTAAGTCACTTAAACAAAGTCTTCACCGAGGTTTTTGACAAAAATGATTTTGACCACCAGATGTTGTCAAATCCCACAGATAGAGCCATATTCTTATCAGGTAATGTTTATTAGCAACACGCTGCATCACTTTTCTAAACTGCCTGCACCTCGTATATGTCAGTTCTTCTCAACTACCAGATTATCGTTTGAATAAAAGTCCAAAGTCTGCGTGGAACCCTTGACATGAAGGAAGGTTTTGTGCCGTGACTTTATAAACAAATTAAATGCAAAAAAAAAAAAAAGAAAGAAAAGAAAACAAAATAAACAACATGTAATTTGCATCACTTGCGCTAAGAAACGTGATTTAAGGACAGGATATTTGCATTAACTGCTTTACTTGGTTAAGTTGCAAAAGGGTTAAAGAAATTGCGTGGTGGAATGTCGTTAAAGAACAGTTGTACTTTCTAAAAGAGAACGAGATAAATAATAATAATAATAATAATAATAATAATAATAATAATAATAATAATAATAATAATAATAATAAAGACCTGCAGTAGGTTGTGATACACAGAGACATCAAAGCTACTATTTGACCCAGGTCTGGTGAAGTATATACAGTACATGCAGTCCTGATACAAATACCAATAATTTACTTTTGTGCTGAGTGACAAGTCTTTGGTGATACAGAGATAGTCACAACTACCTGCATGTGTATATCTATATAGCTGCTTAGAGTCGTACACTCAAGTCGGGACATTTTCCTGAAAATTTTCAGGAGGGGCTGTTATGTGAGTCCACAGATGTCTGCAGAGATGTTTCCCTGGAACACTTTACCATCAGCCCCCCTCCTCAAATTTATGGACAATGTCCAAGTCAGGCAACGAGGAAAAAAATACAGGGAATTGTCTGGAATAATCCCAGTCAGTCAGTGAGGGCCCCGCCTCCTGCACGTTCCACCTAGGCTCCACCTCTTTGTCTGAAAGTTCCAGAAACTTTCCTGCTGCTCTGAACACACCTGAAACACGATCTCCTCTCGTGTTCTTCTTATGTAAAATGCTAAACTCCGGAAAAAACTCCAAACCCATTTTAACGGACGCAACTGAGTATGTCCACCTGTGAGTGTGTGAGGTGCGAGGACGGACTTTACTGTCGCCATGACTTGCGGCTGAGCACGCACACGCAAGCCACGTTGATGCGTATCAGCCTCCACGCCACCAGGTTTTTAAAGGAAGTCAGCGCTCTTACAAAAGTGTGTGAGTTGGTGCAGTAGGAATTCCAGTGTCTCGCATCGATTCCCAAACAGCCGGAGCCGCCCGAGCGACTGCTGTGACACGTCGTCTCAAAGAAGTACTGCTTCTTGTTGACGTTGTTGATGTTCACGTCTGGGAGCACTGTCACCTCGTTGCCTGAGATGTCCGTGGCCTTGGTTTTGTTGCCCACCCAGACGCTGATGCTCTCACATACTGAGTACACGCCGCGGTGCTGAGGCTGCCCCGCTCGCCGGCGGGTCCTTCTCCCGCCGACCTGTGATGCTCCCGGCTCTGCATCGGGCGGCTGAGCGCTGAAGAGCACCCTGGGTGAGAGGTAGTGGCGCTTTTTGAAGAGTTTGGGGTCCACTGTGGGAATGGTGTTGGTGTCACCTGGCTGCTGCTGCTGCTGCTGCGACGATGCGGCAGAACACGAGTCCCCTGTGATGGAGGCCACAGCCTGGGCACTGAAGAAGAGGAGCAGGACCAGCATGGACGACCTCATGGGCACACAACCTGAGGGTGGGGGCAGAGGAGACACTACATTTTACTCACTGACTCTTTGATGCTGAACACTGACTGCCTTGTATGTGCAATTTGAATGTTGGACACCATTTTTGCTGTTGCACAATAAGAACAGATGGACGGACACATGTTGTAAAGACTGCAATGATGGGATATACTGCTTTGGCAATCTACATTCTGACGTACCCTAGATTTTGAAATGCATTGTGGGATACATTGAGTACCCTTTAAAGTGGACAGCGTCGACTCAATAGACCTTCAGACACCACCGCAAAATGGTGTGCCCTCTGTAGGGTGTAGGGCTGTTCCAGACACAGCCATTCACTTAGAGGTTTTGTAAAAACGTCTTTTTCTTAGTTGACCTGACTTCAAAGACCTCCAAAAGACAGGAGCAAAGTCTAATCAAATCAATCAAATGTCCAAATTTTGTATGGATGTGGGTTCTGGGACATCGGCCTGACAATCTTTGGCCAGTGTGCATGCCCCCTACTGCTCACCGACTTAAAAAAAAAAAAGGGTTTCTTATAAGGGAAGTCTTTTGCCACATTTATCCAGCTTGCCAGAGCTCAAAATGAGATTCGAAAATAATTTACAGCAACTAAACACAATCTGCTAAAAGAAAAAGCCCCAGAGAGTGTTTTCAACCAAAGAGGAAGTCATACATCAGTTTTAGGCAAAAAACTAATTTGAGTTCCATGAATCTGAGCTCATCCTAGTTGGACAGAAAGATGGCGGGTTCTGTGATTAGACAAGATGTTATAGCTTGTTTAGAGGATGAGAACTCGTCAATGATTATGTGTGCCAAACCTGAGGAACACTATCCAAAAATATCTTCACCCTCAATATTGCTCTTGACGTATCCCTAAAAGTATTTGAGGCAAGAATTGTCACCAATTTGTTGCAGATTTTTGAACTCTGAAAAGACATTCCTACTGTATGAGAAACGTGTGTTGCAAAGTGCTTTTAATGACTGCAGTGCTGCTCCCCTTTTCAGAAGATTGTGGCTGTTTTAATGGAGCTGATGTCATGATCAGGTTTTTTTTTAATGCATGAACTTAAGAACTTAATCGTCGCGTCTGACTGTAAGCAGATTCATTACCAGGAAAGGTCTTTTGTCATTGCTGTGTCATTATGCTCACAAACAGAGATGTGGAAACATTTTTAGAAGTATAAAAAAAAAGTTTTGGCAATTTGTTTAAACATGTTTACAAAATTCGAATCTCGGAGGGAAGATCCAATCCACCAGGGGACATTTTTCTCGGTGCGGCTCTGCCTTTGGTCTCCGCACACCGACTCCCTGGGGAAATATTTGCAGCAAGACTGAACTAAAACAGAGACGTTCTGGGTCAAAAACCAAAACAAGCTTGAACGTAAAGCTCTGCAGAGCTGCAGGGGTTCAGAGTCTCAGCGACCCCCTTTCATACATACAGTAACGTGATCGGACCTCAAAGGTGGGGGGTTTTCTAACAGGTTCTCTTGCCGTGAGCATGTGGTTGTATCGCTGTCCTGCCAAGATCCTCAGCAATTGTTGCTTTTAAACTACAGCGAAATTGTCGACTTAATTACATCCATAGAAAAACGACAGAGAGCTGCAGGATTATGGAAGATGAAAGGCATCAGTGCCATGAGATCAGGCACAACGGTTCCAGGCACACATTATTGACCCTGTTTTATTTTTCAATGTTTTCACTCTTACTCTTACATTCTTTTGTCTTGCACATGTGTGCAGCAGACTCTGTGGGTTGAAGTTATCAGTAGAGATGTCCGATATTGACTTTTTGCCGATAGCCGATATGCTAATATTGTCTATACACTTAATTTTCGACTCCGTAGACCTGGTAATATTTATTACAGTACAAACCACTGTATGAGTATGAGATTAATTAAATGAGCTGCAATGCTGCCATCTAGTGACTTTAACTTTCATATACAGCCGTTTATCCCCAAAACTATTTTTATGGCACACATCATCACCAGAAAAAAAACGATAACGATTTTTACAAAAAATATATAATATGCTAATATTTGTTTTTAATTCACAGACAAAAGTAACCAATCTACAGTATCTCAATTTGAAAAGTTCAGAGACATTATAAAATAAAAACACTTTGCCGAACTCAGATATGCCTTTCTGTAATCAGAGGAGATCAATAAAAAGATTTTACACTGCAGGGATAACAATGACACCCCATCAGAAACCATTTTCCTCTCCTCACTCTCTCTCCTCTCTGCCTTGTACACCAGGAACCAGAGACATGTCAACACCTGTGGTGGCGCTGAGTGCAGGTTCTTTCAGGTAGCTTTATTATATACCATATTTGCCTGAGGTGTGGGGGCGAGTGCTGATGGAATCAAACTGTTGGCACAACAAATCCAAAGATGAGCACAGTCTGTGCTGAAGTACATGATGTGTCACGATTACACTGACAAATAATTCTGTCAAATTCAGTTGAGTGCCTTCCCAGCACTCAGCTATTAGCTGGACGTGATAATGTGTGAAGCGAGGACTTGAAAGCTAACATCCATTTTACTGTTAGTTGACAGTTAACTCTGCAAACTGTGGCTGTAGTACTACTACGTCTGGTTTATATTACTACACAAAGACACAAGGATCACTGAATAACTTAACAATAGGGAACAGGTGTGAGGTCTGTCAGTCTGGGTTCATCAGTGTCATCACCCTCACCTGTGTCCTGTGGTCACCTGTTCATTAGTCTCACTGCTGTCACCTGGTGCCCTGGGTATATATACCTCTCTCCCTCACTCAGTCCTGGTCAGGTCATTGTTCTGGATCATTGTGTTTGTGCTTTGTGTTTGGGGTTCATGCCTTGATGAGCTGCTCCTTGTTCTGAGTTCTTCTCCTTGTGACCCAGTGAGTTTTGTGATTTGTTTTTTAACTGCATTTTGGCCCTTCCTGCCCACGCTCATGGCAAAATGTGACAACAGGTTTACATATGGGACCATATTATGGGAAATGTGGCACTTACTCTAGCATCATGTAAGCAGCCCTCTGCCCCCCTTTTGCATAAGGAACATTTTAAAGCTCCTCACATCAAGGTATTAATTACTAATAATTTAATTAATTTCTGCTTTTTTCAGTGAGGAGGAAAATAAATTACAAATCAGTCACATTTTGGCCACACAAATATTAATTAAATTAAATATGCATTTTGCCTGGCTCTCTCCTGCAATTGGTTAGTGAGCCACTAGGGGTCCCCTACTTTGGATACCGTTGCCGTGCAGATGAGCCCTTTCCTGGGTTGGGAGTTTCTACATGGAGTTTGCATGTTCTCTCTATGTGCACATGGGTTTGACTACAACTAAGGCACTGATTGGTTGATGGTGAACAACAATTCATGCTCACATTCACACTCACCATCAGTTTGGAATGAACAATTAACCTTTAACCCTATATTTTGGGACTAAAAATCTGGAGTCTATAGAAACTCTCTAGAAACTACGTGGCCCTCTGTAGGTTGAACAGGGCAAACATCAATAGGAACTGTTTGGTCCCATATTTATCTTATATTCCTGTCATACAAAAACATGCAAATTGGTTTATTGTATGTCCAAATATTAACTTTAACTAAATATGCTGAAAATACTAAAAAACATGTGGCTGTTAATCCAGACCAGAGCTAAAGGCTACGTTCAATGCTAATGCTTGTTGTTCCATTAATGGTAAAACATTAGTCAGAAAACTACCTGAGCAAACGTCTCCCACATTGTTGTTGGCGTTCAGACTGGGCTCCATGAAGTACTGTAATCTTCATAATCATTACCAAGCAATAAAGATAGGAATAATTTGGTGCAATGAACACACGTTAGGTTGAATGGACTTAAGAAGCTCCCGTTGGACGACAGGACAGCAGCTCAGGTTACACTGGCTGCTGAAGGACGACACATACAGTAAGAGTGAATCACTCTTTTCACAAACGAACGTTCTCTCATTCTTTTTAATTTTTGTCTCCGTCAAAGATCCAAAGAACATAAAAGTACATTCTCAGCAGAGTCCAAGCAGCAAAGGCTTTCCTTCGACCACAAAAAATAATTTCACCTCAGTGTTGACGTAGCATCTACTCTGACAACCCACGACATGGAGAACATACCAGCACAGAACCCAAGGTTCACACTCTGCTTAATGCTACCTCTCAGCTGCCAAACGTGAAAATGAAAGGCTCCTGTGGTACTTGACACTACAATACAAATGTACTGCAATTCAAACCTTCTATTTAGTGTGCAACGAAATACTTTTATTTGAATAAATTTGGAATAATATGAACGTTAGCTGGATTTGGACAAACGATTCAGCATTTCTTATTCACATTCAGTCAAATAACACAAGGAACGTCAACGTAGTCTTGATGTCGTTGTGTGTGAGATAAAGGCCTAAAACTTAACATGACTATGACATCTGTTTTAATAGAAATCGACAGGAACTCTGTAGAGAAGCCCGTGGCCTTGGTTCCAGTTGTGGGAAGCACATGGAATTATCTAACAGGAAGCAGAAAAAATGCATTTCATTCATTCTTCTACTGATTAATCCTCCTCTTGGTCGCAGAGGGAACTGAAGACAATCCCAGCAGTCATGAGGGGAGGGTGGGGGCTCCCCCTTTGATAATTATTCATTCCATCATGGGGTCACATATAGAGACAAACAAGCATTCAAACTCAGGGTCGGCTCTAACCACTTTGGTGCCCTCAGCGAGATCTATAGGACTAGTACTTATGGTTTATGTCACAAAGACAAAAAAAAGATCAGTGGAGAACAGGTGTCCATGTGGAGCCTCATTTTGGAAACATGGTTATCATGCTAGCCCTATAGCAGTCCCTCCCCTTTTGTATAAGAGACTTTTTATTGAGTTTTTCCTCACACTTCTTCACTCAAATGACACGCGTATTAGTTAGGGCGACAAGAGTGTGGTCGCAGATATCTCTAGGTTACCCCAAAATAACTAAATAACAAGATGTTTGCCAAGAAATAGTTACTAGTGAGGAGTAAGGATAAAAAGATTCAGGGCAAATCCCCTGGTACAGAGGCAACATACAGCAGCAAGCAGCCATTTAGACCAAACCGCAACTCCATCCATCCAACCATCCGTCCATCCATCCATCCATCCATCCATCCAACCATCCATCCATCCATCCCCGTACCTTTTTCAGTGTCTCCACGTGAACTGTAGCGCCCCGGAGGCCCCTAGAGGACGTGATTAGAGCTCACCGTGTTTTGGGCTCCTGCCATCAGGCCTGGCTGTGGCCCCCATCCAGCACACCTTTGCTCTTCTCTGTCTCCACAGCTCAGCTCTGTGGAGAAACGAGCAGAGAGCCAGCTCATAAA